AGCGCCCAGCCCCGCGGGCGGCGGCGGGCGAGCGGGCGCAAGAGCAGGAGCCGGAGAGCGGCGCGGCTGGGAGGGAAGCCGGGGCGAGGCGAGGAGGTGGCAGGAGGAGGAGACAGCCGGGACAGGTGTCAGATAAAAGAGGACTCTCCTCCTCTGCCGAGGCATCATGGCCGCTAAGTCAGACGGGAGGCTGAAAATGAAGAAGAGCAGCGACGTGGCGTTCACCCCGCTGCAGAACTCGGACAATTCGGGCTCGGTGCAAGGACTGGCTCCTGGCTTGCCGTCGGGGCCCGGAGCCGAGGACCCGGAGGCTGCTGGGGCCGGCTGCTGCCCGGACGGCGGCGGCTGCTCGCGCTGCTGCTGCTGCTGCTCGGGGAGCGGTGGCTCGGCGGGCTCCGGTGGCTCGGGCGGCGGCGGCCCAGGCGGTGGGGCAGGCTCGGCGGCTCTGTGCCTGCGCCTGGGAAGGGAGCAGCGGCGCTACTCGCTGTGGGACTGCCTCTGGATCCTGGCCGCCGTGGCTGTGTACTTCGCGGACGTGGGAACGGACATCTGGCTCGCCGTGGACTACTACCTGCGCGGCCAGCGCTGGTGGTTTGGGCTCACGCTCTTCTTCGTGGTGCTGGGCTCGCTCTCTGTGCAAGTGTTCAGCTTTCGCTGGTTTGTGCACGACTTCAGCACCGAGGACAGCGCCACGACCATGGCCTCCAGCTGCCAGCAGCCTGGACCGGATTGCAAGACTGTGGTCAGCGGAGGGTCTGCAGCCGGGGAAGGCGAGGCTCGCCCTTCTACGCCGCAGAGGCAAGCATCCAACGCCAGCAAGAGCAACATCGCCGCCACCAACAGCGGCAGCAACAGCAACGAGGCCACCCGGACCAGCGGCAAACCCAGGTCTGCGTCCTGCTCCTTCTGCATCTGGCTCCTGCAGTCACTCATCCACATTTTGCAGCTCGGGCAAATCTGGAGGTAATGTATCAGGATGGGGATCGAGGGGTACTACTACTGCTCCTGTATGCTCACTGCTTTGATTTTGCATGAAATCGTCCAAGATGACTGTGGTAGTAAGCCTAGTCACTCTTTTTTTTTTTTTTAAGTGCTCCCTCTCTTCCTCTCTCTTTCCCTCCTTCCCTCCCTCCCCTCCAGCTCAGGTTAGGTAAGAAAAGGGCATGGACATGTTTGTGGTTTCTCATGCATCACATCTTCTCACAGGCTCACTAGCTTTTCAGTATATGCTACAACTTCTCCCCAGATTGTAGACACACTATTTCATTAGTAGAGGATTCCTGTCACACTTTCTAAAAATCATTTTTTCTTATTTCGCATTTGTGGTGTGTTGCACTTGGTATGCTTTCCTTTGTTCTGGGGGTATGACTACTAATTCTAGTTAAATAGGAATTGTTACTGCTCAAAGGTACCCACACTTGAATGATAACTGCTAAAGAAGTCCTGTGCTCAAAGTAATGTTAATAAATATTTGATCTGTCACATATATAGAATGAATCAATTGATATATACATAATTTTATGTAGTGTGTGTGTGTGTGTGTGTGTGTGTGTGTGTGTGTGTGTGCGCGCGCGCGCGCGCCCACAAGTGATCAGGCTTTGGGATACCCTAACTGATGTAGAATACTTCTGATTACCTTGTCGTATCCCCATGTCTACTTTTGTGTGTAAATGAGAACCTTTGGAAAAAGGGCAGTAAGCACATTGGGTAAACTTTGATTGCGCTTGGTATTTTCATTGGTTGATTTGCTGCTTACCACTCCATCTACTGAGTCTCTTTTCGTAGTTATTACTTCCACTTATAAACTACAAGACTTAACTAGTGGGGGGGGGAATCCCTCAGACATCACTCACGGACATAGGAATGTAGTAGAACAACATGCTCAGAAATCTGTTCTTTTGACTTTTATGTGCATAAATTTTTTGGAAAGCAGTGTCTAACACATAAGAAATATGTGTGTCAAAGAATATATAGGCTAATACTCTAGAGATCTTAGTTTTAAAATGACTTAGTAAATACGTAGTGTAGTGAATGTAAACTTCCTACCAAGTACTTTCACGTGTAATTCTGTTTATGATGAAAGACATTGTAAGTTATTGACACGATGAAGTATCCCATGAAGAAACAGTTCAGAGAATTTGTAGAACAGGTTCACAAACTTCTTTTTCTTTCTAGTGAACAGCAGGGTTCTCATCTGAGCAGAGTGTCATAAATGCTATTGTACTTCTTAGGATCAGTGTTTGTAAAACGGGGTGGAGGTAGTGATCTCTTGCCTTGGAAAATATTTAAAGAAGATGCTTTCTGGAAAAGTGATCCATGGTGTGTTGTCAGACAAACTGATGTGGAAACATATCTCAAACTCAAGGAGACTTTCTAAAAACACCAGTTAACTGTGGCAGCTCTAGTTCCCACAGAACACTTTTGGAAGACCTAGAGTTGGGTATTCTTTTTCAATTATGAGGAAGAACTAGAAGGCTTATTTAATTACTGGAATTATTTGGTGACTTGAACTACATGATTAGCAATTTTAATCTAACAATGTGGCACAGAGAGCTTATCATACTATTTGGTAACTTGTGAAAACTTTACAAAACATTTTGAAATCTCTTCCTTTTAGTTATCTGCATATCAATAATGCAAACAGTTGTTAGTTAGATTCACTGAAAAACTGCGTGTCTCTACAGTACATTTTTTTCAGATATTTTCTGAAAAGCATGTGGTGTCAAACTCGGTAAACTGAAGAGTAATTTTAATTATAGTGTTTATTAGATTCAGGACATTGTATTCAGAAAGTGAGGAGTAGGAAAATTGTAGAAGACAATATCACAGTGAGAAAATAGCCACTGGGTCAGTGGGTGTAACAGAAGAGCATGATAGGGCAAGGTACAAAGGGGAAGGTGGAGAGCAGGACGGCCGTCAGACAAGCGCATCAACTGCCTCAGCCCTCGGAGAAACAGGGCTCCGTTTTTATTAAGTATCGCTACAAAATATCCCTGAGAGACTTTGCAGTTTATTTAGATAATAAGCTCATCAGGGTGGAACTGTTCTTTTTGGAAATACCAGGTCTCTTTCATCATGGTCAAATGAGGTGTCCACTGTGGAAATCTGAATTGTTACTTGACCCACTATTTGTTTTGATCAAAATATCTAGGGAATCCCATGGTAATCTGGTAGAACCCTAATCTAAAAATAACAGTCTTTATTTTTTGAAAACATGCTTTCAAGTTCTTTGATGTAATGTAGAGATCTATAAACAATGAGAATGATTGTGAAATTTAACACTCAGATACATTCTGATGTGTTGTTCTCTGTGTTAAACATTAGAAAAGAACTTTAGTGGGGTGTACCTTTCATAATAAGTGGTAAAAAGGACTCAGCTAAGATTATTGTATTAGAAACAGTGTAATATGTTAGACCACCATAGATCCTTAAATTAGAACTATCTCTTGGTTTAGTCCAGCTCTACTTTTCTAATGAATTCTACTTAAATACTGCAGTAAAACCAGGGTACCAAGTGGTTTAAAGCTCAGAGATCATTATTCATGTTTTAACCTGCTACAATATTGAATAAGATAGATTTTTTATTGATGTTGCTGACTTTTCATTGCATTGCCATGAAATTATAGTTATTTTAGGGAAGGATCAGAGTCTAAAATCTTTCCGTAGATAAAAATCTTTAAAAATAGCATCCATGTGTTTGTTTGTTCTGAAATAAGCCATTTGAAACACTGTGAACAAAATTTGCATGTATTATACATGCATTATGAATACAACTGCTAAAAGCAATGATACATGTTCATTTTAATTAAAGTTTACTAATTGGAAATTAATGGGAGCTTTTAAAGTCATAGGAGGGGGTGTTGAGAAGGAGCCATGCAAAATAATGAAGTAAAGCTTTTGCTAGCACATGGAAAGAGCAAGCATAGATTTAGGAAACTGTGCCTGCAAATGAAGGAGAGCATGATTATTTATTACTCTCTTTATATAATTCCAGAATGACTAAGAATGCAGCTCAGCCAGTGAGAAGCATGAATGGTACATTTACTAACTATGCCTATAATAATGTTGTCTGCAAAGAAAAGTTATTCTATGCCATCTATAAGCCTAGGTAAAAATAGTGATGGTAATGTTATCGGGAAACTTAAAGTTCACAACTTTTTAGTTTTTCAAGACAGGTTTTCTTTGTGTAGTTTTGGTTCCTGTCATGGATCTCGCTCTATAGACCAGACTGGCCTCAAACTCACAGAGATCTGCCTGCCTCCTCCTCCCGGGTGTTGGGATTAAAGGCATGCACCACCACCGCCCAGCAAAATTCACACCTTTTAATCTCCTAAATTTGCAGTAAACTGAAAAGGAATGGTTATATCCCTCTGTATAAGAAAACTGGCTTCGAATGACTAAGTGTTTTCCAGGGTCACCCCGATACTGAATATTGTATCTAGCATTCAGAACCAGATCTGTCTTACTCTAATGATTATGTTCATTCTTAATCATTGGCTAACTTCCTGTGCACACTTGGATGGTAATGGCAATAATATGTGAAAAAAATGATTTTCTGCACTAAGATTGGCAAGGTAGAAAGGATGATGCAGTTCAGATCAGTAGGGGAATCTTTCCAGTGGGCACATGTCAGATAAGGGCAGACTAGAGACTCGTGCTCACATGTCCAAGTACAGCACTTCTCTTGCTGCCTTATTTGATTGTTTCATTAAGTTCTGGCTACATAGCATGTTCCTATAGTGTTCTTTATGATTTGGTGGTACAATGAAGGTGAATATGCAAATAGCACTTGTAAATGATATTGGTCTTAGAGATAGGGAAGATGTAGGAAGCAGAACGGAGATCACACTGTAAACTTCTAAAATATGTGTTTTACTGATTCAGCAATAAATCCTGGAATGGTTTAGGCAATATTGGTGCCTTTTGCTGCTTCCCATTGAATGACTGTTTTTTTGTATATTTGTGTCCCTTCTTTGTGCATATTTATTATTTAATTCATTCAACCTATATTGAGTACTTACATTTATATTGAGTACTTACAATGCATTCATTGTTCTAGATACTAGATTTCCTAAAAGGAATAAAATATACATCTTGGTATCAGCTTTCTCATGAGGAACACAGAATATATACAGATAACATCAAAATAAGGCTAAGTCCTGTGATAGAAATTCAAATAACCTTAATGGTTCATGTGGGGCAGGAAATATCTGTATGAAAGTTTAAATGATGAGAAAACACTATGAGTCACTTCATAGCCTTGAGTACAACAAAGCACAAATGCTAGGAGGCAAAAAGTGAACAAGATACACTGTGTGCACCCAAAAACATGGTTGGGGGAGAGTAGCTAGAGAAGACACTGAATAATTCTTTGTACTAGATAATGAAAAGGAATGAGATTTTATTCTAAAGTCAAGGAGGAGCCTTTGAATGATTATAAAGGACAGTGGTTTGCAAAAGTGTTACAGTATTGTTTTATTCAAAGCATTCACAGTTGGAAGTCTCAGAAGAGATGTCACTATTTCCTCTGATTCCACAGTGTCTCTTCCATTCATAAAATAAATGGATCTCACAAGCCTTGATTTGAGTATTATTGAAACATGTAAATAAACTCAACACAATAGTTGTTTTGCAGAGAAACAGACTGTTTAACTCTACCTATACAAAATACAAAAAGGAAATTTTGGACCAAAATGTATTTGGGTCATTTCTGGGGTTTTTTTGTTTTTGATTTTCGAGACAGGGTTTCCCTGTGTAGCTTTGTGCCTTTCCTGGAACTTGCTCTGTAGACCAGGCTGGCCTCAAACTCATAGAGATCTGCCTGCCTCTGCCTCCCGAGTGCTGGGATTAAAGGCGTGTGCCACCACCGCCCGGCCCATTTCTGTTGTTTTTAAAGAGCTTTCCCCTAGGATATTATTGGCTTTACCTTATATAATTCACATTTTCTGCACTGTTAGGAGCAA